GCGGGAGGAGGAGGAAGGAGGAGGAAGGAGGAGGAGGAGAGGAGGAGGAGAGGAGGAGGAGGAGGAAGGAGGAGCGAACTGCACGGGATGCGGAATCTGCCAAACAACAGGGACAGAATACTTCATTGTCTTTTTAATAGCGACAAAGAAATAAAGCCTGTGCATTCCTAGGTTGGAGGCGTAAAGGCGGTCGTGAAGAGATGCACAACTCGACAGAGTGAGAGCACAGTGAACGTGACTGTGTGAAGATGCTGTGTGCCAGTTGCACCCAACATAGACATAGCCAAGGGTAGGCCGCTAGAGGTAGGAGAGAGGTAGCTAGTGGGATAAAGGTAGCTAGTAGCTACTAGTACGCTACTACCTAGGACGCAGGATAGCTCACGCTCACGCTTGTTCAAGGAAGCTCCCCGCCTGAGGGCCGGGGTAGCTTCCTTGAAGAAAAGCTCGCACTAATGATTTGGTTCCTAAGTTTTAAAGGGAATGTCGCGAGTTTTCAATGGCACGGCCGGTGACAAACTGGTTTTCTGGAGAACCGCAGGCACAGAATGCAGAACGAATTCGGAGGACGGAACAACGAAAACCCCACACCGTCTATGTTTCAGTCTGCCTTGAGGTCGATCGCCTTGTCACTCAACGGCAATTTCAGGATGTCCTGTCAAACGTGTTGAGAACAGAGCTTCCAACCTACTAGCGATGGCCTCCAACCTAGTAGGAATGGCCTACCCAAAAGGTTTCCCACCCAAATGTAGTGTTTCACAAGTGGCAGTCCTCCATGGCAGCACTCCGTTCAAAGACGCTATGGGCCAAAAGTTCCATGAAAACTGGAATCTCAGAGCATGTGATTTAGAAGAAGCTACTAGTAACAAGTGCATCGCTACTAGTAGGAAGCTGCTAGTAGCTAAGGGCACTAGTAACAAGAAGCTAGTCCCTGATGCGGCTTGAAAACCCTTCGCACATGGAACATCCGCATGGCAGCGCAGGGCCATTTCAAGAGCGTGGCGCAAGCTGCTTGACGCAAATCAGACCTCAAGACGTCAAGACGTCAAATTACGCAATCAGACCTCTCTTGACTTTGTTCAACTTCAACTTTGGGGCCAACACGGTGTAAATCAAGACATATGCCCGGGTCAATGCCTCCGTGCAATCCACCAAGCTCTCCGAAGGCTCACTCGTTCCCCTCAGAAACGCAAGCCACAACGAGCCATTGCCACTAGCTTCCAACCTAATAGGAATGGCCTCCAACCTAGGCGATGGCCTCCCTAATTGTTCCTTCTCGCGCCTGCTTTGAGACGACGTTTGGTTTGCTCATGGATTACAAGCAAAGCGGAAATGTGAACAAGAAGTCTTTGCAGCCAAAGCGGAACGGATATGGAAAAAAACACCGTGTTCAACCTGCTTTTGCTTGAAAATGCCATGGGCGAAGGGACGCGGAAAGAGAACCTGTCCAACTTGTGTAAAATCGTCACCGCCCCCAAAGTCGGAAGCTTCTTGGAACTCTAGGGGCTCCTGGCATCGCTACTAGGAGCAAGGACGCTACGAACGGGCTCTGAAAAAGGTTGAGCAGTTTCCATCGATTAGACCCGTCTTACAGGTCTAAGCTGTCTCCGATCTCAAGTGGCTGAGCGGAGCTGCATCTTGTCTCTCACGTTCCATTGTCGGTTTTCCTCGCCACTTCCCACTTCACTTTGTCCTACTAGTAGCTTCTTGTTCGTAGTAGCGATGGCCTCCACCTAATAGCGTCCTTGCTACTACTTCCACTCGGTGTCGATGCGTGCGGACAGAGCATCAATCCAACCGCAGGCACTGCCGACAGCTTCACACGTTGAATTTCGGAGCGAAAAAAGGGGCCCATTCTGACGCCTGTGCTGCTCCAGGGTGGAATCTCAAGAGAATGGTGCAATCCGACGGGAGACTCTACTTGACAAAGCCAGCAAAAGAACGGTGCTCAGCTAATCTCAGCCAGCCCCCCGGGAAAGACATGAGGGAACAGGGCACTGTTTGAATCATCTAATCTAAGCAAGCATGATAAATCACAATGAGGATCTCCCCACTTAAAGGCCTTTGAATCTGGGGACAAATAGTGGCAGTTTATGCATGAAAAAAGAACTGCGGACCCATGTATTCAAATGCATACTTGCTAAGGCTATTTAGATCGTGTAGATCGTTCAAGCGTTTTGACGCCCAGGTTTTCTTGAAAGGTGTCTCAACATCTCCGACCAGCTGGGTTGCAGGCGTAAATCGCACGTCCTCAAGAACGACCCCAACTTGGAGATGTGTTTCAAGAAGTTTTTATCGAAGGATTTCAAATGCAAGCTAGGCAAGCTAAGATGATAAGACTGAGTATCTATCTGTTTTAAAACCGTTTTGTCATCTTTTACAAAACAAACATGTGCTTAATAAAGACATGTCCTTCGTTCTTTATCTAAACCTGTTTTTTGACTGTGTGGTCGCTTTTTCTGCTGTTCTCTAGACATATCATATGTGTGTCTTATCCTTAAATATGTTGTTCTTTGAACATCTTGTGTTTTTAAAAAACAATTGTGCGTTAGACATGTTGTTTTTTTCTTTTGACCTTTTTTCGTTAGACGTTTGTTTGGACAAGGTGTCATTGTTCCTTTAGACACGTTTTCCTTTAGAGATGTTTTCATGTTTTATTTGGATTGGTTCTTTAGACCTTGTTTGTCATCATTCATTTTTAACATCATTTGGTTTTTATCTTTAGACCATTTCTTCGGGCAGTTTTCATGTTTCTTTGACACCCTTTTTCTTGAGAAAAATTTGCGATTCTTCCTTAGACCTCTTTCTCTTTAGGCATGTTGTTGCGTTTCTTTAAACGTTTCTTCTTTGGACATCTGCGTTGTTTTTCTTTTGTCTTTGTCAAAAGTCATTTTTCGTGGTTACTCTAAAAATTGTGTTTCAAACATTTTTGTGTTGTTGTTGACCTTGTTTGTTGGACGGCTTTCTTGTTTAGCCGACATTTTATCTTTACTTACTCCTCTTGAATATGTTTTTAAGCTGTTTTCTTTAGGCCGTTTGTTTTGCTTTAGACATGTGACATGTCCCTTTCATGTTTGAATACCTGTCTTCTTTTGTTACACATGCCTTCTTCTGTTGAACTTTTCCCGCATGAGTAGCGAAGGGTTCTCTTTTAACTCTGGGGGTCTGGGGGTAGAGCCTTGTTCGCGACTCGTTGTCGTAGCGTTCGCAACCGTTGTCAACCGTCCGCAACCGTTCGCAGTGGTGCGCTATGGCGCTTACATTGGGCGAAGCTTTTAGAGAGGGCTTTGGATAGAAGCATGACGTGTCAGATTCGTGTGAAATGGGGAGGAAACGGGATAAAGCGTGGATGATGAATTCGCTGCGCAGGCGCAGCACTTTGTGAGATCTGCAGTTTTCTGCGCAGCCAGATCGGGATTGGTGTTTGAGGGTTGTGTTTTTGGGGCGTGCCGAAGTCATTCCAAACTGGTGGTGTGGTGCAAATGTTGCTGAAGCTACGAAGATATGATGTTGTCACTTTTTTAACCAGGCGCAGTGCTTTGTGCAGGTTTTGAGGTGTGGAAGTGCAAGTTTCGTGGCAGGCGCAGGGAATCATGGGGTTGCGGTGTGGCGGAGGTCACACTTCGTGACAGGCACAGCACTTTGTGCGTGTTGGAGGTGTGGGACGCGTGGTTGCGAGTTGTGGTAGAGGTGAATGTCGCTGTGACATTGGGATTGGCGTGCGAGCGGGTGTTGCTTGGAAGGCTGGAATCGCGAAACTACTTGGCAGGGGTGCTAGATGCGCATGTTCCGACGGGGCTTCGCGCTTGACTTTTGGAGGAAGTCTCACACGAAACGTTCGTTTGGCAGACTGGAAGTGTGAGCTTTTAAGGAAGTCTCGTGCGAAGCGCTCGTTTTGGAGGCTTGACGAGTGAATTTTGGAAGAAGTCTTGTACAAAATGCTCGTTTTGCAGGCTTGGCGCGCGACTTTTGCAGCAAGTCTCGTACGACACGCCAGCTTTGGAGACGTGACGGTTGACTTTTGGAGACTTTAGTGCCCCACAAGAGTGTCCCACAGAGTGACGAAAGTGTCGCACGAGAGCGTTCTACAAGAGTCTCTCCTATAGTGTCAAAAAATGTGGACGTTTGTTTTCGAGCATGTTTTTGCATTCGGGTTCGTTTGTTCCATATTTTGTTGATTTATGTTTCTTTTGACCGACCCTATCTTATTCTTTTCTTTAGACATAATAAGTCTTTGTTGCTTTCTTTAGACGGGCTTCGTATTTTCTCTTAAGACAGTAATCTAGACATGTTTGTCCTTCTTCAGCAGGCCGCTTCTTCCTTTCGACTACGTGTTCTTCAGATGTTTTTGTTAAAGACAGTTGTTTTTTCTTTAGACCTTTAGGTTCTTGTGATGTGCTTGTCAAAACGCCTCCCTCTCTCTCTCTCTCTGTCTCGGCCTTGCGAGCAAGTTCTTTGGCCCGCTCTAAACGCTGACTCTGCACCAGGAAGAGGTCCTTCTTTTCGTGAAAGTGCAACAGTGTGTACAACTTTGACACACGATGAGTTGTGTCAGAGTCTCCTTCTTCGCGTATTGCCCAGCGCAAAGAATGCAAATGCACCTGAGAATGCACGAAGAAGTGAAGCCACATCGGCGTCGAGCTACGCCGCTCTCAGCCAGACTCGTCGAGCCACCAAACGGCAAAGCAAGGGATGCTGAGCAAGAAGTAGAAGCCGGCCAAGTACATCTGGCATTTCTGTTTCAAAAACGAAAGTAGAGGGTTGGCACAGTTCACAAAAGAGTTCCACCTCTGGCAACTGCGCAAATCGCAGATGGTAGAGAAAGTACATCGAAACCTCAGAAAAAGATCCAACGGAAACGTGCTTCTGCGTGACTCGTCCAGTCGAGATCTACTCGTCTCGACGTCAAGTAACAAGTTGAAGGATCGTCATGGACCCGTAGATTACGTTCACGTAGGACTGCGCCACCTTCAAGCGCCTTTTCGCGAAAAGAAGTTGAAAGTCTCTTGTTTGAGCTGTCTTACCGTTGTTTACCATAGGATTTCCAAAAAATTGTCTAATGGTACGCCTGGTCTCGAAGACTGTGAACAAGGAACACAAAAGAATCGGGATGCTTGCAGAAGCACCCAACCTCAGCTCAAGAGGCAAAACATTGGACGAAATCCGTCGATGTTTTTCCACAATTCCAATTAAATTCTTATTGTTTACTACTAGTAAGGCACCTGTTACTACTAGTAAGGCACTTGTTCCTAGTAGCCTAGTAGCTTCCAAATTTGCGTTCTTCAACTTTGTATGCTGTGGTGCCGCACCCGACCAATGCGACCGGGTTGATCATGATCAACTCCTACAGTTCCCACCCTTCCATTTCTGATGTTTCCTTTTTTAGCCCGCTCCCCCTCCTACTCACTACTTGTAGCTCCTGGCCTTACTACTAGGAACAAGAAGCTACTAGGTGTTTTTTTTCACTCTCTTCCAGGTCCATTTCATTTTTAACGGCGTCAATTTGCGTCTCGCGAATTCTCGCGTCCTTCAAGAAAACTGGTTGAGGATCCTCAATGACGTTCTCCTCTCCAGCCTCTCTCCGCAATGCGCGTACGTTCTCTTGGTTGCATGATTCGGCGCAAAGGAAAAGCAGAGGACCGTGACCCAAACATGCCAAAAGGAAAACGAAGGGAACGACAAACGACGTCAAAAAAACAATGTGTTTGAAACCCGATGTTGAAACCCGAACTTTAATTCTAATTTAATTTAAGTCTAATTAAATTTAGACTTGATTTAATCTAATTGTATTGTAATTTAGTTTAGTTATAATTTAGTTTAATTGTAAATCAATTTAAATCTAATTTCATTTAGTTCTAATTTAATTGTAATTTAATTCAATTCTTATTTGTTACTACTAGTAAAGCACTTGTTCCTAGTAGCTTATTGTTGAATAAAAAACAATGTGTTTGAAACCCGATGTTGAAACCCGAACGGAACGCAACTGCCAATTCCGCAACTGCCGTTGGGCGTGCGTGATTGCAAACGGTTTTCACCGTGCCGCAGGAGTTAACACAGCCAAAAAGTTGGCAAACGTGTCTTCAATTTCTGGCTTGGCAGAAATATCACAACAAGTTGTGTCAGACCGTCCATCCAATGGAGACAGAAAAATCGTGGTTGAAATGTTCAAAAAAATTCTCTCAAAGGCGCCTTAGAGAAACTAAGTCGAGTTAAGAAGAGTTCAACAGGAACCAGAGGATAACATACATGTCACAAGAGGAATTTAAGATAAAATGAAATCAAAGGGAACTGCAGTGGATCAAAAGGAAACACGTGCTCTCAAAAGCGTAAAATGCATTCTAAAACCCAAAGCCACCTCCCTTTGTTACATCACACATTAAATTACATTCATGTCTATTTTTTACAACGGCGGCGGACCGTGGACCTCGGAGGCCCAGCAGATTTGACATTTAGAAATGGCGGACCACGGATCGCTGAAATCGTCGACATCCACACGCGTATCGCTGATCGCATCCTTCGACTGCGAAACGTTTCCCGACCTCATCTCCTTGTGTGTTCCACCCGGAGCTTCAGCGGATTGCCGAAGGACCGTCGTTCGCACTTCCTTTGAACGCTGTACCAATTCACTCCCTGGGGCGCCTCAAGCGCAGAAGAGCGCGCGTTCAAGGGATGGGACAGAATGTAGTGCCAGCGCTTCAAGGAACGCAATAAGACACGTCCAAAAGACACTAGGGCCATCACTGAAACTGAAGATCAAGCAAGTGCATTGAGGGGGCTGACGAAGATCAAACAAATAACAAGGTGAGCCCGGGAGCCCAAAGCCAAAAACCACAAAATATTTTCAGCGACACGGAGGCGTTCCAAACCCCAGCCGTTCTTTTTCATGACAGTCACCATGTGAATTGGATCGGCTGGGGGACCCTGCAGCGTCACAGAAAAATGTTGTTGGGGCTTGATCCGCGATCCGACACCGATCCGGCGCGATCCACGCACCGCGTGGTCAGCCGCAGCGTCCCCATCCAACGCTCGCACCCCCCCGCTGGACCACAGACAGTTGCAGAACAACAGCTCCACGGCAGCGCCCCGTGGTCAAACGCTCGCACCCCGCCGCTGGACCACATACAGTTGCAGAACCGCAGCTCCACAGCAGCACCGCATGGTCATCCGTCCCAAGCATCGGAGATGCTTTTGACTAAACTCCATAGAGATTATATTCAATCTTACTGACGTTGCAAGGATTTGAGAAAAACACCGAATCAACATGAAAACGCAAACAAATCGAATGGGAACAAACAGTGTCTTTTTCGATGGCCTCCAACCTGATAGGAGTTTCCTCCAACCTAACACTAAGAGTGGCATCCAACCTAGAAGCGATGGCCTCCGCTGACTAAGGAACCCGGTCGCCTCAACTGCGCGCGACTTCCTCTGGTCCAAAATGATGCGCTCATCCGCAACCTGGCAACGTCTCGACTGAACTGAAAGAGCTCACATTATTTTTCTGCGCCAACATGCGCCAACATTAGTGCGACCAAGCCAAAAGCCTTAGCCGTCTTAGCCAGAGCTGTAGGCGACGCGAAATATTTCCACCCGTTGCCACCCACATCTCATCAAAACAGCCAAGGCGCTCAGCGCTCGGGTTGTTCTTGCGGCTTGCGCGAAACACAAAGATGAGACATCGACTGTTTGCGCGCAGTTTGGAAGGTGATGAGTTCAGTGGGACGATTTGCATCCTCAACGTTGATGAGACAAATTGGTTGGGTCTGAGGGCGTCTACATGACTCCAAGTCGGATGACTCCCGTTTGATATAGTCTGGTTCTGCGAGGGCACACGGCGGCAAGTGAGTGACTTAAGCTGAGTCAATTAGGCATCCAGGATGGGCTCGCGCCGGTTCGGAGAATCTCCGTCGAGTAAAGGTACAGTCAAAAGGTGCTTGAAGAACATGCTCTTTCTTTTGACCGTGTACACGCAGGATCGAAGCCCATCGCGGCTCAAGTTCGCCCGTGTTGCGCAAGTCACATGGTCGCGCCGAAGTGGGGCCAAGCTGCCGGAAACTGTCAAAGCAGTACGATCGCGCGGACGCTCTTCTGAGGTGGTGGACCGAGCTGACCGGGAGGATCGTGGGAGCTTTGAGGACGTGAGTCGGGAAGATCCGGCCAATCTGCTTCCCATTGTAAGACCACCAGGTCAGCAGCTCCCCCTCCAGGCTCTCCTCCCGGTATAGACATCTTCATGTTACTGTTGCAGAATTTGCCAGGGCCCGCAACCGCGTGAGGCGTGAGGCCTCCACCGCCGCCTGCGAGCCGGATTGTGACCAGGCCCTTGATGGCGGGCGGATTGGTGGAAGTCCGATGGCAAGTTAGATGAACCAGCGTTTCCGCATCCTCCTGGTGCGTGGAAACACTTTTCGTCTCAACGCAAGCGAAGACGAAGATCGTGGATCCAAGCTTTACCAAAGATAGAGAGAAAGACATAAAAGCAGGCCGCATTCCCTCATCATACCCTGCCTAATTTTGAGCACTGCCGACTCAATCGTACAAAGAATGGCAGCGCGCTATCCAGATGTGGATTGGCGGGGAAGGGGGATGGTATGTGTGTGTGTGTCCAACCCTGGACAAAGGGTTTTCCACCACCACTCTTTCTACCCTACATGAGCAGGGGGGCAGAGAGGACTTGCAAGGCTCTGCCCAACGAAGCTCCTTGCAAGATCCTAGGATGCGGAAGCTGATCACTTCCGTGTACCTGCTCGTTCCTTCACAAGCTGTTACTCCACTTTTCCACTTTTTGCTTCATGGTTCTTCACGATTTCCACCCCATAAACATTCGTCCCCAGCAGCTGTGCAGCCGGTTCGCGTTTCCGCAGCTTGCGAGTGCCAACATTGTTCAACAATACAGTTTAAGCTGACCTTTCCACCTTGCTGTTCCATCGCCTTCCTTCCCAATGAGACAATTGCGTTAACTGAAAACCCAAGTTCGAAGTGTGTCCTGCTCAGCCGTCCCACTCGGGTGCTGAGTGTGATCCCCGTCACAGGGGCGCCGATCTTGCATGGGAAAGCAACCGCTCCAACGCACCACCGCTCACTGGACTCTCACAGGAAGGCACCGACACCCTCACAGAATCAACTGCCACACCGGCCGCCGGGCCAAAAAACGGTTCTTGAAGAATACATCGGATTTCAGCTTTCAGATTTCAGATTTCAGATTTCATTTCATGTCTTCAAATCATGTGTGTGTTTCCACGTTTTGCTATATTGATGCCGTGATTCTTTCATCGACAGAACTCAAGGATGGGCATTACAGCTCTTCAGCTTAATTCGAGATGCATGAATACACACCTACCAACAAGCTCACATCTAGCACCACCTTGCAACATACTCACCATCGACACCAGAGATGACACCTTCAACAACAACAAGACAATACAACTTGGCACTTCTCCGCTGCCTTTTTGCTGCCGCACCGCGCCGTGCCATAGCTACGACCACGACATGCATTTTCCGTGGCCCTACGCTCACACCACGCCACCACCATTACCTACCACACAACCTCAACCCACATGGCCGCTGCCACAGCCATCAACTGCACCCACCTTTCCCACGACACAACCATCGGCATACCCTCACCCACAACCACAACCATTTCAACCACCACCTTTTTTGTCCAACCCTACCGCCACTGCACTGACCTACGGCACACCATCCACTTGGACGTTTGTGCAACCATGTCACGTGCCACCGCAGCCCACACACCCAACTCCAGTCTTTCCGACAGCAGCACCTCCCCCTTCATACCTGTTACCACCACAACATCCCACACCACCGGCCGAACTTCCTCCCCCCACTACACTGACCCATCCCCCTCCACCACAGCAACAGACTGCGATTGCCAATCATCCATCCACAGACCCCCAATGCGCCATCCCCCAGGGCGTTTGGCAGCCCTATTCAGCTTTTTCCCCCAGTCACACAGCCTCCACTCCAACCGTTGCCCCCGCCACCACCTCCACAAACCATCAACGCCTCAACACCCGTCCAACCGCCACCATCGGATCCAACACCACCAATCCAACCCATCCCCACGACTGCCCCGGACACTCCATTGCCGGTCCAAAACACGACCCCTCCAGCTACCGTATCCCAACATTCTGCATCCCCATCGCTAGTATCAGCCACACCAGCACCCGGATCTTCACTACCTGCACCAGACAAACCTGACACCATTGCCTCACCAGCACCACAACCACCTTCCCCGCAACCACCACACAGCAGTCGCCGCCACCACCACAAGAGCCGACGCAAGTCCGACCATCACCACAGAGGACGCCACCGCCACCGCCGCCGACATCGCCATCACCGCCACTCCAAACATCACAGCACAACCCGGCGACGGCGTTCGCCTTCAACATCCACTTACACATCCAGCCTTACGCCATCCCGCAGTCGCTCACCACCACAACCCATTGATTTACGCCCTAACACTGAACACACCAACCCAGACCCCTCTCAATTTCCCACCACAGCCGTCCTCCGTCGCCCAATCAACCGTTGGCGACCTCCACCCAACTTTCACACCTTTACGCCTGCAGACCAAATCCTGGAATGGCTCGAATTCCACGCCACCCAACTCGACAATCCCAACCGACCCCAACACCAGTACATTGCCAATATCCTCACAGACTGCAACATCACCTACAAGGAGATCACCGATTTCCGACAATATACTCACGCCAAGTGGAACGACACAACTCACCAATACGACCAATTCCAGTACTACGCCATTTCACTTCCCTTCCTCAACACCAAAGCCACTACACCAGAACCACCTGCGGTTTCCCGAGCCACATCAACCCACCGGGAAGTCGCCCACATCAACGCAGGCCACACAGGCCCCGTCGGCAACATTTCCAACATTCTACGCCAAGGCCGATTTTTACCCAGCACACTCCACTTTGCCAACTACCCTGGATTTTTTGCCCAGGGCGTTCGCATCACCCACAACCAACCCCATGACCACAACGAACTTGCCCGCATCATCCACAACACCTGGCAACTCCACAAGAACTCCCATTCCCTTATCATCACACTCCTTGCTTGGGGTGCTGCCACAAAATATACCTCCGGAGGTGAGGAACACGCCATGAACCTCCTTAACGACCACCATGGTGCAGTCTTTCATCAGAAGGGCCGCTGCTGGGTGATCCACCCGGACCACGCCATTGTCAAAGGACTGGCCTGGTCCACAAACTCCACTCCACCAGACACATAACACCACTATCCCACATCTACACACCACTACCACCTCCACATCCACTTTTGGTCTCACACCACCACCTAACCTTTGCTCGTAGCAGCCAAAAAGAGCCTCCTGCAGCGGCCACGCGAATTTTGAACCCTCAATTTTTCAAGCTCTGCAGTGTTTGCTGTAAACATTTTTCTTCAATTTATACCGACTGTTCTGATGGAGTATTTCACATGTCAGATTCTCATGTACTTGACTGTCCAACCGGCATTGCATTTTCGTACTTTGCCTGTGGAAATTTGATGCTCGCTTAATTCATACGCACGGCCTCGTGATGATGCGCTCCCTCAGACTCGCCGCTGTCCGGCTGCTCTGGCGCGCTGCTGTAGCAACCCGTGACGATTCCGTGCTACTGTACATCCCTACATCTCTGAACCATGAGCAGCACACCGACACCTCTACGCAACGACACCTCAACTCTCATACACAGAACCACAGTGGTACTTTCGCAGCTGCAGAACCTGCTCAGACAAGCAACCGACAGTGTAGCACACCTCCACACTCAGTTCCTCCACCATATCCACCAAGCGGATCCCACTTTCCGCCAACACTTTCAGCCACTTCCAACCCCTCCCAACCACCCTATACGTTTACCATCTACTACCTCATCTTGTGACTCTGCACCATCCAGACCACCCCTCCGTTTACCAGCACCACCCTCAAAAGACTCAGACGACACTCCCACAACACCACCACAACACGCAAGCGGAAGCAACCACCCCCACCACCACTGAACCAACAGGCGGACTGGGATGCTTGGGACGGCGACGCCGACTGTCGCCTGGTCGAACTCAAAGAAAACCCCAGACTTCGTCCCAACTGGACCACTGTGGCTCGCCGAGTGGGCTTCTCCGTAGAGCAATGCCAAGCCCGATGGCAAGAACTCAAAGACATGCAACGTCAGCAGGACCAGCAACTCTTCTCCACACCACTACCAACCGCACCACCAAGACAAGCACCTTCCCCATCACCAACACCCACATCACCAGCAGTTTCCCCAGCACCACATTCACAACCGGATTTCTCCCCTTCCCCCATAACAACGCCACCGACTTCACCACATCAAACGACTCCTGCTGCTGTGCTGCTGACGCCGGCCGCTGAGCGAGAACTTAGTGAAGACAGTCATCCGGAGAAATCTCCACTTACGCCCGTTGGC